AGTGCAACCTTCCCAAGGTCTCGGACAAGCCCCTCACGTGCACGAACCAAGCAACAGCGTTTCATACATACGCGGCAGCCGTGGGCAATGCGGATGTCACGCCCTCCCGCCATGTCGGCAGGTCCCACTGCCGTCACGCCAGCCCTGCTCGGCGGGTCAGCCGACATCTGCGGATCGTCACCACTGTGCCGTGCAGCACCGCCACCGTCGTCGCTGCCAGCAGCACTGCCGCTTGCCTGCGAAACCGCAGCCGCGGCACCCGCTGCTGCCACAATCCCGGCCGCTGCTGCAGGTCGTTTCGCCCCCGACGCGTCCGACAAGCGCGGGGCACTGGACACAGGCCGTGGGATGCAGGCCAGGCTGTGCAGCTTGCGCTTGGAGTGCTCGGTTGCGGCATATCCCCCGCACTTGGAGCATCTCCAGCAGCTGTCCTCGACCACGAAATCGTGCTCCGTGAGGCTGGGCCGAATCTTCGGCGGAGACTTGATAGCCACACCCGTGTCGATGTCATCACGGGCGGCATACGCTGGGGCACCAGCACAGGACACCCAAGCCACAACACCGTCCACCATCAAATGTGAGCGCCTGATCCTCGATCTGTCCGCTTCGCCCAGGGCGTGCGTAGGAGTGGCTTGCTTGGCCCAATCGTCGGCCTCGATGTAACCCCGTCGCTCCCAACGAGACAACCGACCTGATTCTACATCTCGCAGAGTGCCGTGCCCTTTCACTTTGCGCACTGTGAGCCCGTCAGGGCCAAGCCCACCAAAGTCAACAATAGCACTCCAACCCACACGCCACAAAAAAAAGCCAGCTGTGAGAGGCACTGCACGCACCCTCAGGTCCACGCACCAGAAGACCGTCAACCACGCAACTGGCAACAATCCTCACAGTGATGGGCGCCAGGCTGTGACGAAGAAAAGGGAGCACTGCGATGAGCTCAGCACCTTCAAGAGATTGACGCATCCCCATCAGCGGCGACCCCAGGGCGCGAATGGCGCACTTCGGACCAGGATCGTACCAGCCAGGCCCGATGGGTATCTGCACCACCGCGCAGCCCGCCATGCCGTAGTCGAGGTCAAGGTCGAAGGCCGAGCCATCGGTGAACAGCTCGTCGTTGTGACAAGGCAAGGCACCATTCCCCAGCATCCACTTGTCAGCCGAAACAATCTCGTCCTGGGGTGGCTGCCACCCCACCTGCGGTCGTGCTAGCAACAACCGTTCGATCAGCGTGACGATGTTGGGGTGGTCCGCCTGCCTCTGGAGCGCGGCGATGGCAGCTGGCAACTCCCCCCGCGGCCAGAGGTGAGCACGCTCCATATGACAATGCCAAAGCGTATCGACATACTCTGGGCACAACTTGCAATCTTCTGAATGGGCATACCGAGGTTCATTGTGAAGGCGGCGATGGTTGGTCCACTGGCCGCCGACGATGAGCGACCTGGCATGCCACCGCTCCTCTGCACCAGGGGTGGGCCAAACGCGCCCTTCCGACGCCGTCGGCCATCCTCGATGAATACACTTCCTCAGTTGCGTGCTGTTGAACCCGTTAACCAAAAACGACAACTCGCCAGCAACCTTCTGAAGCTGCCACCAAGGAACTGCTTTCCGAACCACTTGCTTTGTATACCACGCCGGGAAGTCCAGCGGCTTATACCCTGCGCCAGTCGCCGAGGTGATCCAGGTGCTGATGCTGGCCGCCGCCCAGCCGACGCGCAGCAGGGACACAAAGGCAGCGCTGATGAGCCCACGAACGTGAGCCCAACACTTCACATGAGTGGAAGCAACCGAACGAGCAGACTGAAGGTCAGCGTCGCTGAGCCACGTGCAGTTCACACTGTACGCACATCCTGCCTCGAGGCCCTGCTTGGCGATGCGGGCAGCGATAGCACGTCGACCACCATTTCCCAAGAGTCGCCGTACTCTGGGTACCCGTCGCTCTGCTGCACAAAGGCGCGCTCGTCGCACCTGTCGCCCAAACGCGCGCCATTGAGCAAAGTCCGCGCCGCCGATCTGAGCACCATCGATCGTGAGCCTGACTGGACGACGCGTCCCAAGCTCCCAATCATGTAGGACCTCGGCGCTGGCCACGCGGAGGTGCCTGGACACGACGAAATAACCAATGACCTGCTCCGAGGGCCTGCACGTGCCCGAGGACGTCGCCACGACGCGCCCGCCACACCTCTCGAGAAAGGAGGACTGCATGAGGGTGGCTGGCTCCATGTTGAAATCGCCACTGATGATGAACGAGCGCCCGAGGACCTGCAACATGGTGGATACCTTGTGCAGAATGCTCTCGTTCGCGCGCGAGAGCCCCTCGGCCGGGTGCTGGTAAACCGTGACCAGCACCATGCCCCCCGAGCAGAAGCCAGACTGATGAACGAAGGTCGCACGCCCGACGCCGATGATCGAGCTACCGACACCCTCGAACTGCTCCATGCCGTGCACTAGCGGCGCCAGCGAGGTGAGGCCTCCATGCCCAGGAAGCCCAGGCCCCGAGCCTTCAGCAGGGGCTGCGTGCGCATGCCAGCCGAGCTTGGCCAGCCTCGCCGTCACCTCATGGCTGCGCTCCACCGTGAGGTGCGTCTCTTGGACGGCAGCAAAGTTGGCCCGACGGATCTCCATACGGTCCAACAAGGTCTCGAAGGTAGAGGCGTTGGCGTTCACCGTGAGACCAACCCAGGAACGCCGCTGCCGTGGACCACTAAAGGCCCGTTCTCCTCCGCTTGGCCTCTGCACGGAGGATCTCGAGCGCCTCCAGGAGCCGCTTGCGCTCGTCTGCACTGGAGGCCCACGCCAGCAGCCCACCAGGATCGTCCCCGTCAAGATGGTAGCTGAAATCGCCACGAGCATCACCCTCCATGGCAGCATCGCCGTCCGTCCCCTCGGCAGCCGCTGCACCACCGTCGGCACCTGGCGCGCCGCCGCCGTGGGCGCCGCCGCCTTGTGCGTGTGTGCGTGTGTGCGTGTGTGGGTGTGTGGGTGTGTGGGTGTGTGGGTGTGTGGGTGTGTGGGTGTGTGGGTGTGTGGGTGTGTGGGTGTGTGGGTGTGTGTGTGCGTGTGTGTGTGTGTCTGTTTGGGCGGTGCCGACCTTCGGCAGCGCGACGCCAGCTCTCGGGGGGAGCACGCAGACCTCTCGCGGCCACACGCGGGAGCGGCCCTTGGGGTAAGAGTGACCCTTGATGCGCGGCTCAGGTAGAGAGCAGAACATCCAGGCCCTACAACATGATGGGCCTAGAGCCTGTTTTCCACCACCATCACCACCATAAGTTGGAGGGGGAAGAAGGTGGAGGACGAGGAGGAGGAGGAGGAGGAGGCCCCATCCCCCTCCTGCTGATGGTTGTGGTGGTGCTGGAGAATGAGCCCCTCCTAACCATCGCCCCGACACGCGAAGCCGTTCGGCGAACGCGCACAGGGCAGGAAGCGAACAGGGCAGGGCCGCCTCGCAAACGCCCCAATCGTCGGGCCTGGGTACGTCCTGCCTCCCTTGCGATCTGTAGAAGGGCCGCGGGGGAGGCCAGATCCCAGCCGCCCAAAGCGCGCCGGGCCTTGCCGATGGGGCCCATGTGGGCCCGCTCCCGAGGCAGGAGACCACGGGATCGGATCGGCGAGTCGGACCGGCGATCGAAACGGGTCGAATGGGCGGACATCGGCAGCCAAGTCGAGGTGCGTCGGATCGGCGGACATCGGCGGCCTAGAGCAAGGCCTCCACGGAAGCATCGAAACCCCGATCGGGATCCCAAGTCGAACAGAATCGGAATCGGAAACCACCGAAATCGAGTCGAGTCGATTCTGGGGAGCGAACAATGACATGAAGATAAAAACTCGGAGATCCGCGCGGATTGCTCAGATCGGCGCTGGACCCCCGGAGCGCGCCAGGGGAGGCGCCGGAGGCGCCGCCAAGGGGCCCCAGCGCCTATCCGAGAAATCCGCGCGAACCTTCTACTTTTTTTTACGTCCCAGAGTGGCCCTGGGGAAGAGTGACCTCTGGTGCGCGGCTTTGTCGGGGACGCGCGGCGGCCAAGCCCGGGCGCGCAAGCCGCTGCTCCCGCCTCGCGTTCCGCGATCGAGAGGCCCCATTGGGCCCGCTCCAAAGGTCACTCCGGCGAAAGGTCACTCGTACGTCTACCCAGAGATACGACGCCGTGATTTTTTCGGTGCGCGGTCCCCGGAAGTCTTGATCCATTCCCCAGGACCGGTGTTCCATCCTGAGTTGTTTTTGACGGTCCCGAGGCCCTGCGAGGGCCCCTACAAGGTCGAAATTTGCGAAAAACCTCCGTCTTGATTTTTTGTAAATGCGCTGGATCTCCGGGTAGCCGGCCGGGGCCGCCCCGGCGCGAGGCCGCTCCATGGCGCGTATACAGCCGCGGCCTCGTGCAGCGCCTCGGCGAGAGGCGCGACCGCGGGCCGCGCCGCCGCGCGGCGCGCGGGGGCCCAGGCCGAGGCCCACAGCTCCAGGGCGGCCTGGCCTGCCACGCCGCGCGCCGCGGCCACCTCCGAGCAGCGTTGCCCCGGACCCCCCTCGCGCTGGGAAAGACTCACGACGGGAGGTCGTTCGCTAGTTTCGGCCTCCGGGGGCGCGCCTCGGGGTCGTCAGAAAATGACTTGGGACGGAAAGCCAGTCCCGAGAAAGGGGTCCAGGCCTCTGGGGGTCGACGTTGAGATGCTTGCAAGAATCCCGAGGAGGAAAAACCGCCGAAAACCAACGAAAAGGACCGAAAACCTCGAACCTTCGAAGCTCGAACTTCTCCCCGACTGGGGAGGGTGGCATGGTGGGCTCAGCTACAATGGCCCAGTTCGGTGACATCATGGGAGCCTCCCATACCATCGTGTCGGCTCTCGCGAGTCGATGGTGGTCGACGCCAAATCGACGCCAAGTCGACGCCAAATCGACGCTACTCCACGGTAAATCGGCGGTATCTGACGACTCCCAGACGCCAATCGAAGCTCATCGACGCTAACTACAAAATTAACAGGACACACGAGCCTCCCATGATTTGCCACCGAACCAGTGGGGATGTTGGATGCCCATTCTGGGGACCTTCCCGGGGACACCAGTTCCGCTCCTGCGTCGAAGCTGCGTCGACGGTCCGTCGCTGTGAGCCGACCCGGAGTCGAGCCTGAGTCGAGCCTGCGTCGAACTCGAGTCGCGCCTGTGCCGAACTGAGATTGAACTGGAGCCGAATCGATCCTCGGGAGCGGCCAAGAGGGGGGTGTCCAAGGGGGGGGGTGCAAATCATGACCGGCGGCATGTGCGCGGCCAAGCGGGGGGGCCAGGGACGTAATGAAACAAGAAGAGGCGCCATGAGATCTGGGGAAACATCATGGCCCACGCCGTGATATCCACCCCCCCCCAAGTCATCACCCCCCTCTTTTCCGCCCCCGAGATCCGTCCTGCGGGCCCCAGGTGGGCCCCCAAAGCGAGCACCCAGAGGATGCGGATCGGCTGCGCGGTGCCGAGCCTCGGCGTCCTCCGCCGCCAGGTCCTCCACGGCGGCCCGCAGCGCGTCGGCCTGGCCCGCCCAGGGCGGCAAGCGCCGCGCCACCTCGTCGGCGGCAGCGCGGGCGAAGGGGCCCAGGGACACACAAGTAAAGAGACACAGACAACAGGATTCCCCTATATTCCCCCATAGTTTTGGGGGTTTGCGTCTTCCCTCCCCACTTCCCACAGCTTCGTACATTTTCATGGGAGTCGACGATTAATGGTGTCTGTGTGATGTTTGTCCCTCCTGATCATTCGGGGGTTGCTACAGGTGCCCCTGGCCCAAGCTGCCCCCAGCTGTTTCGCTCCATTGTGGAGCCCCTGGGGCCACCTGGGCCTCGCGAGGGGTGCTCTGGAGGCCGTGGGGGCCTCCTGGGGGCACCCTGGGCCAGGGGCACCTCTGGCAGCACCCGACTCTGGCGACTCGACGCAGGCCGACGCTGCTCGACGCCCACATTCCAAGCTCCTCGACGCTGAACTGGCGCCCGCCGATCCGACGCCAAGCGCTACAGAGCACGCCGATGCGCTCCTCGACGCGAACCCGGCGCCTCCCGATCGAGCACCAGACGCTATACAGAGCGCGGTGGTGCACTCTGTCCTCCCCTGGCGGAGGAGCGCGAGGGCGCGGAGAGAGGGGAGCAGCTCCACATCTGAGCCGTGCAGCATGCGGGCGATCGATACAAGGCTCCCGTGCTCGGTGGCAACTCAGGGGAGCCTCCCATAGCATCTTGTCGACTCTTGCGAATCTACGCTAATCGCACTAAGTCGACGCTAGTCGACCCAAACCGACGGTAAGTCGGCGCTATCTCATCGACTCCCAAACGCTAATCGACGCTGGTCGACGCTGAGGACGGGATTAAGAGGGTACGGCAAGTTCGTGTCGTGCCGACCCTGGCGTTGGTCCCTGACACCGCGGGAAACGTTCAACCTTGAACGATCGGTAGTTTACCAAACGCCCAGTCGTTCAACATCGACCGATCCTGGGTCGCCAGCGGCCTCTGACCTTGAACACCCGCGCTGGGGCCGCCGCGGGTCGACGCGACGCGAACCTGCCGCACACGGGGCTCCCATGACTTGCCACCGAGCCCGGGCGCTGCTGCCGAACGCCTGGGCCAGCTCCGCGTCGCCCCTCAGCGCGAGGACCTCTCCGGCGCCGCGCACGAGCCAGGAGCTAGGCGAGGCGCGGGGCCCTCCCGGAGAGAGGGCCGCGGGCCCGCCCAGCCGAAGCCCCGCGACGGGCCTCGCGGAAGCCTTCCTGGGAGCTCCTCCTGCTCCTCCTCCTCCTCCTCCTCCTCCTCCTCCTCCTCCTCCTCCTCCCTCCCGGGGCCCAGGGGAGAGGCCCCCCGCCTCCGCAGAAGGCCCCCCGCCCTCGCTCTGCACCCCGTGGCGCGCGCCGCCAGGCCTCGCTCATGATGGCCTCCGCCTCGCCCTCTCGGAGGCTTCCCTAGAGGGGGTCGGGGGCAGGTGGCGGTGGGGTCGGAGGATCGCGCGCGCCGCATCGCCGATGCGTCGGCGATGCATCGGGGGTTCATCGGGGATGCACCGGCGACGCATCGTTGACGTCGGCGGCGCATCGGCGACATCGACGTGAGGGCAATCGGGCTCCACATCGAGCCGCATCTGCGATGCATCGGCGATGCGGCGCGATCCTCCGACCCCATCTACCCCGACCCGATCTACGAGGCCCAGACCTCCGCCTCCTCGCGCAGCTCCACTTGCCTAGAAGCGGGCATCCTCGGGTTCCTGGCGATGTTGGCCTCCACCCGAGCCCGGGCTGCCGCGCGGCGGCGCTGGGAGACCACTCCCACGCTGTCGGCCGCCGCGGCGCCGGCCAGGAAGGCCACCAGCCGACAGCGCAGCTCGCCCCTGGGCACCTGGGCCCTGGCCGCGAAGTAGCGCCGCAGCCTGCCGCCTTCGTGCGGCGCCAGCCCAGCGCCATGGTAGAAAGCAGCCAGCACGTCGGAGACGCGGCAGGCGCCGCCGGCTGGCAGGCTGGGCGCCAGCGCCGCCACGCCCTCCCCGCACTCCACGCCGCAGGGTTCGTGGGGTGCCAAAGGTGCTGCTAGGCCAAGGTACTTCCAGCCTTTCGCACCAGGCTGGAGCTGGGGCCCTCCAGGGGCTCGTGGAAGGTGCTCTGGACGCCACCTGGGCCTCCAGAGATGTGCCGATGCATCCGGCCTGGGGACACCGTGGGCCGGGGACACATACCCGAAAGACCCAGCCACCCGCGGACCGGAGAGGCGGCGCCGTCGCAGCCGACAGGGGTGGCGGGGAGGCCGCCTGGGCCTCGCGAGGCGTCCTGGAGACACCTTTGGGCCAGGGACACACTTTGGCACCACCCGAATGGGACGACGCGAAAGACGCGGCCACCAGCGGACAGGAGGGGCTGCGCCATCACAGCTGGCAGGAGTGGCGGGGAGGCCCCGAGGCGGAGCCCCTGAGCTGAAAACGCACGGTCAGCAACTCACTGGCCACCTGCGCCTCAGCTCAAAATCTGCCCCACGAGGAATCACCGAGTCGGGCAAGGCCGCGGAGCTGCCATCAATGAAACCCGCGGACAGGCATGCCCTGACTTATCCCCCCGATTTCGATTCTGGGCATTCTTTGGCGATTGCGCCGCCGTGCCTTCGGCACTTTGGTGCGTGTTGGGCTGCTTCTTCGGTTTCTGGTAAGCTTTCTATCACTTTCCTGAGGCCCCCCCAGGGTGTGATGCAACATCGCTGATACATCTTGGGTATACTCTGGTCCTCCTTCCTCCTCGTTTTCCTCGTTTTCCTCCTCCTCCTCCACCTCCCCCTCCTCATCCTCCTCCTCCTCCTCCTTTCCCCCTGACGCCCGACGTTGCGAACCAAATATAACACGTTGCGAAGAAACAAACAGAAAGCAGAGCCCCACATCCCATCTTGCTGCGGCAGTGTTCGAGCTGGGTCGCTCTCCGATGGCGCTGGGGCCGAACGCCGGGCAAAGACAACCAGTGTGGAGAAACTGCAACGCTCCTCCCTCCATCACTCCCTGCATCCCTTCCCTCCCCTGAGGCGAAGCGTGAGGAGAGGGATGAGAGGGAGGAGGAGGAGGAGGAGGAGGAGGAGGAGGAGGAGGAGGAGGAGGAGGAGGAAAGGAAGGATGAGGAGGAGGAGGAGGGAGGCCAGGGAGGAGAGGGAGGAGGAGGAGGAGGAGGAGGAGGAGAAGGAGGAGGAGGAGGAGGAGGAGGAGGAGGAAAGGAAGGATGAGGAGGAGGAGGAGGGAGGCCAGGGAGGAGAGGGAGGAGGAGGAGGAGGAGGAGGAGGAGGAGAAGGAGGAGGAGGAGGAGGAGGAGGAGGAGGAGGAGGAGGAGGAGGGGGCAGGGGAGGGGGAGGGGGCGGGGGAGGGGGGAGGAGAGGGAGCCTCCTTCTCCCTCGTCCTCTGCCATCATCATCCCTCCCTCCATTCCCTCCTCGAGTGCGGGCCCGCGGCCTGCGTCCTCGCCGGAGCTGGGGCTGCCGCCCCTGCCATCGTCGGAAGCGCTGGCGCCCTGCGAGGGCGCGCGCGGGGCCCGAGGAGGCCAGACCCCCTCGAGCCGTGCAAGAATCACGACGGGAAGTGTTTGGCCGCTTTCGCACTTCGCTTTCGGCACCGCCTGATCCCGGGGATTTGCCCTCTCATGGCCTTGATGTGAGGCCCCTCCTTCTGTTTTCCTTCCTCGGCTCATCAAAGCTATGCGCGGCCCGCTTAGCTTCGACCGGAAGAGGCTCGCTCTCGACCCGCGGATCAAAAGAAGTGTTTGGCCGCTTTCGGCCTCTGGGAGCCCTCGCAGGGCATTGGGACCGTCAACGCAACTCGGGGATCTTCTGACCCGGGTCAATCCAGACCCGGGTCAGTAGGAAACCAAAAACTGCAATGCAAGAAAAAAAACTGCAACGCAGATCTTCGCAAACCCGGGTCAGCCAACATGTACGGCAGCCTCGCGGCCACGAGCGGCTCGCTAACCCGGGTCAGCCAGAAGGGGTCTTCGCAGGATCCTGCAGGATCTGGCGCTGTGGCTGACCCCCGTTTGCACTGACCCCCGTCTCGTAGGCCCCGAGCAACGACTCGGAACGAAGCGCCGGTTCTGGGGAGAGGTCGGAACTTCTGGGGGCATTGCACGGCTGCCTTCTGATCGTGGTGCCGCAGGGTCGTCAACACAGCAGCCTGCAGCATGTCGGCCCGGGTGGCCGCCTCATGAGCAGGCGGCAAGGGGCGCGCGCGGCAGACGAGGTGCTCACTGGAATCCCCCAGACCTCGCACCTGGGGGAGGAAAAAGACATGGTGATTGTGCAGGCCTTGCGCAATCTTCACTTTGTCGCTGATCTAGGGGAGCAAAAAAAAGGCTCCAACATAAACTTTTCACGGTCCGCGCGGATTTCTTGGATCTGCGCTGGACCCCCCTTCCTGGCGCGCGGAGCGCGCACGCGGAGCGCGCCAGGGGCGGCGCCTGAGGCGCCGCCGAAGGGCCCAGCGCGGATCCAAGAAATCCGCGCGGGCCGTGGAAAGTGTATGCTTGAGCCTTCTCTTGTTCCCCTAGATCAGCGACACAGTGAATACAGCGCAAGGCCTGCACAATCAAAACGTTTTTTCAACAAGTGTATGCAGTTGCTTCGTCTTCGAGTTGACCCTCCCGCAGCCCTTGCGCGGCTACTGGTCTGCGCGGCGCGCTCGTGCCTGGCAGCCAGGAGAGCCCAGAATCGAATCGACAAATCGGATCGGCACTCGAAATGAATCGGACCGCCGGAATTCGGCGGACATCGGGAAGAGCCAAGTCGGGAAATCCGCGGACCTCGGCGGCGGAAATCAGCCAAGTCGGGAAAAGCCGAATCGGCGGACATCGGCAGGCTACTGCATGCCTCCGAGGAGAGGTCGGCTCCCGACTCGGAAAAAATCCTCCAAGTCGAATCGCCGTGGGCTCGGAAGCCGTCGACGCCGAAGCGAACCGAGCCGGAGGCATCGAGCGGCCCCTGGCGCGAGCCTCCTGCGGCGACGCGAGAGCCCGCGGCCATCGCTCGGACGTCCATTTCCTGTGCTTTTCTCGGTCTCGTGCGTGGCTTTTTCGCGAAATGATCAAGGATGCTCCTCGATGGTCCTCGCCGAAGGAAAAATGCACACGCCCGAGCGATGCCAAGGGGCCCGCGGCCCGGAGCCCCGCCGCGGAGGGGCCCCCTCGCGGGGCCCCTCCGCGAAGAGCGGGGGGGTGGGCCGCGGCCCCCGTGGAGCGCCCCCGCGTGCCCCGCGGAGGCCCCTTCTGCGAGGAGCTGCGCGGGCACACGCGCTCTCCGCTGGTGCAGTTGTGGATGCCACGACACTGGACACCCCAACAGTCCTATGATTGAGTTTGAATATTTACCAGCCTCGAACGTATCCCTATCCCTAAGATTGACACGCCAAAAGGCGATAACAATCTTAGGGATTCGCCATCAACAAAAACAATGGAATCCCTAAGATTGGCATCGTGATGAGGAGGTGCCCAGCATAGGGATAGGGATATGTTCCAGGCTGGCAAAGAGTGTGTTCAAACTATATGTTAAACCCTTTTTTACATGTTTGAGACATGTTTAACACACGTTTTAGACATCTGGAAATGGTTTGGCAACCTGCTTCCTCTCCATTGGTCGCCCTCCACAGTGGTACAGCAGGGGCCCGATCTCGGTGGGCCCTGGAAACGACAGTACCGTTCTCTTACCAATTCCGTGTTACCGCTGTCCTGCCGGTTCCGACGCCGTTTTTGTCACCGGTTCCGTCGCCGCTGTTTCACACCGGTTCCGACTCCGGTTCCAATCCGTTTTTGTTGCCGTTTCCGGTCGCCTTTTTTGGCCGCTTCCACTTTCAAGCGACACTCTTTCGGAAACAGTGAAAAAACGGCCCTGCCGTTTCCGGGGCCCACTACGGGCTCGACCACAAAGAACCATCCACAAGAGGCCCAACCCTGAGACCTCAGGGCGTCCATGGACGTTTGGTGCGGGAGCGTCACGCTTTCCATCGCAAAAACCATCGAAGCCCAAGAGGCCCAGGGCACCCTGGAGGCAATCAAGGTGTTTCTTGGAATGGGCCCCCACTGTGTGGTTCTTGCAAGCCTGGCAGGAGGAAGAACGCCATGAAGATAAACTGTTGGCGCTCCGCACGCATTGCTTGGATCTGCGCTGGACCCCCCCCCCGCCCCTGGCGCGCGGAGCGCGCCAGGGGCGGCGCCGGAAGCGCCGCTGGTGGGGCCCAGCGTGAATCCCAGAAATCCGCGCGGAGCGCGAAAAGTTTCTGTTTGTGGCGTCGTTGCAATATGATGTTATTGTCACTATAATTATTAGTAGTAGTATTAGTATTACTATTATGATTAACATTAATATTATGGTTTCTTATTATTATTATTATACTTTTTCTTCTTCTTCTTCTTCTTCAACATCCGGGCGTTTGCCCTCGAATTCGGCCTCTGGGGAGCGTTGCCGTGGCCCGGGGGCATCAGTGCGGGCAAAACTTCTGTCCATATCTACTGCAGCTTGGAGTATCGGGCTCCCTTCCCCAGAAAACCGAGGCGCACTGGGTAAACAGAAAGATCTGGCCCCCAGATGCTCGACTTGTATCCATATCCAGTGCGCCTCGGCCTTGCGGCTGCCCTCCCAAGAAAGTCCAAGACGCACTGGATGTGGATATAACTATTGCCCACAAGCGAGGGGATACCTGGGGACCTCCGGAGCCACGTGGAGGAGAACAGACACGTCGCCGGATGTCTGAGTCTGCACGAGGAGCTGCGCTTTGGCACGTGGCCCGTCCCGTGGTCCGCCGTGTTCCTCGCGCGTGGCTCGCGGGATCCCTTTCACACGGTCGGGCCTGGGCCAGGAGAGTATGCTTCAAGAGCATGAGACCCTCCGTCGGCCAAGACAAACGGAACATCCAAGGGTGCCCTTCCCAGGATGCACAAGGACCCATCCAACAAGCACGAAGAGCACCAGGGCACCCTCCCCGAGCCGACCTCCATCTCACGTCTCGGTCCGGCTGCACGCCGAGTGCGCCTGCTGCCCTGCTACCTCCTCCTCCTCCGCCGCGGCCGTCCTTTCCGGCCTCCCGGCCACTGTGCACACTTCGCCCAGGAGTGCCCCCGCCCAAGCAGCACGGGCGCGGAGCGCGCGCGCGCGCGCCACCGCCGCGGCACGGAGTCGCGGCTCGGCGCTCGGGTGGCCCCTCGTGGCCCTTCGGTGGAGCTCGGTCCGCGAAGATGGTGTGCCCCGTCGCGCGGTTCGGCGCCTCACGGCCTGCCTGTGGGCCCCAGCGCAGGGTCCTGCTGCAGGGCGCGCAGGCCAGCCCAGGTCCCAGGGCCGTCCTATGAGCCTCGGCTCGGCTGTGCTTCCGGGCGCATGCTTAGCTCATGGATGCTGGCGTGCTCCCGTCCGTCTCCTGCTCCGTCGCCGCTTCATGCTGCCAAGCCGCACGCTACGATGCCTCCACAGCAACTGCAATGACAGTGTAGAATGGCGCGGAAATGTCAGCACTGTGGCTCTCTTTCTCCCTCTCTCTCTCTCTCTCGCAGGGTTTATGCGTTGTTGTCTTATGTCTGTAGTGGCTATGTTTGCTTAGAATTTTCGCAAAGCCAAAACAAGCTACGGCATGCTGTCCCTCGGCGGCGAGCGAGGGGGGAAGCGAGAAGGAGAAGGCCTTCTCAGAAGGCGGCGAGGCTTCTCAGAAGTCTCCTCGCCTTCTGAAAGGTCTTCTGCGTCTTCGGGCAAGGCTTACAAAACTTCTCAGAAGGCTAGGGGACTTCCGAGCCTCGTGAGAAGGCCCGCGCCTTCTCACCTCCCCCCGGGCTCGCCGCCGAGTCCCTCACTGGCCAGCTGCTGGGCCGGACACCCCCGCTCGCTTGCCGTGCACAGGGTGGTCCTTGAGGGGGGATTGTGCGCTGTGGTCTGCTGCCTGTGATGTTTCTTTCTGCTCGGCGCATGCTCCAGCCCGCATCGGCCAGCTGCGACGGAGATTCCGAATGTCTACACGAGCGCGAGCTGCCCTCAGCAGCTGGGCCTGGCAGCCGCGCTCACTTGCCTTGCACAGGGTGGTCCTGAAGGCGAGCCAAGTTGTGCCATCCATTCTCATGTTCCGCTCCCTCCTCCTCCTCCTCCTCCTCCTCCTCCTCCTCCTCCTCCTCCTCTTCCTCATCCTCCTCCTTCGCTTTCTCCCCGATGTCCTCCTCAAGATACTCATCCATCCGCCCTCATTCCCCACCTCTTCCTCCCTACTCCTCTCCCCTTCCCCTCTTTCCTCCTCCTTACGTACCTCCTCCCCCTCCTTTTGTTATTCCTCCTCCTCCTCCTCCTCCTCCTCCTCCTCCCTCTTCTCCTCCTCCCTGCCACCCCGCTGCCCTTGTAAAGACTCTCCTCCTCCTCCCTGCCCTCCTCCCTGCCACCTCCTCCTCCTCCTCCTCCTCCTCCTCCTCCTCCTCCTCCTCCTCCTCCTCCTCCTCCTCCCCCTCCCTGCCACCCCGCCACCTTTCTACAGGAGCAGTGGGAACCGAGAAGAAGGCAACGAGAGGGGAGGGGGCAGGTCGGAGGGCCACGCGCGCCTGACGAGCACTGCCCCTCGATGCAGGCGAGAGGTCCTGAAGGACACGGCTTCTGGACCCGAGGGCTGTGCCACCCAGCATTCTAAGACGAAGCCAGGACGAGGATAACATCGGGTGAGGGTAGACCGAGGATCTCTGAGAGCCGGCGGCTCTGGAGGCTGTCTCGGGCGCGGCGGCCTCCTCAGACATCCAGAAAGCTCTAAGAGCTTCCCAGTACGCTCTGGGACAGATCTATCCTCGACCTCGCCCCGCTCGACGTTCTGTCATGAAGCAGTCCTGGGGGCAGGGCGAAGCTCGAAGAGGCCGAGAGTGGCGCGAGAGTCTCGGGACCCCGTTTCTTTCAGGACCCCTCTGCCGCCCACGCCGCCCTTTTCCAGGAGCCCCGAATCACAGCTCACTGACCTTGACATGTTTCGGAGCCCACGGGTCCTGCTCATTAGCCGGGTGGTGTTTGTGCGACTGGACGCCCCCGCGGCACCTCTGGATGAAGGGGCAACGATAGGAGGGGACTGGCATGGAGGGGAACATCTACCTGGACTCGGCGATACGTCGCCGATAGACCGGTGATAGGCCACCGAGAGCGACTCCGCACGTTCCTGGGCAAGTTGGGGCTGTCGGGCCCCTA